AGAGAGAGAGAGAGAGAGAGAGAGAGAGAGAGAGAGAGAGAGAGAGAGAGAGAGAAACGGACAGAGCAGACGCCATGAGACGCCATCAGCGAGCGGTGCTGTGAGCCACGGCGTAGCCGTGGCGGGTTCCACTTGTTGCTTATAATAGTTGTAGAACACGTAATAGGCCCCGGCCTTGCGACCTCCTATGACTACCTCGCTGACAAACATTTCACTCTTAGGGGCTTGTTACGGGTTGACACGGTGGATGAAGGGGAACCTGCCTACGAGAGGAGGTGGGTCTCCTTGAGAAGTTTAGCCTTCTATTGCTTTTGCTCCTTGGTCTGCATAGTGTTGTGGTGGGTGGCTGGTATGACGCGGACGGAAGGGAGGAGCGCAAGCTTACGTGGAGCGGGGGGAGGATTGGAGGCGACATCGTGTGCGCTGATTTTGATTTGTATGCATCTCCGTCATCGGCGACACTCGCGCGTTCGTCACTGTCATCATCAACCGGGCGAGATCTAGTTTGGCGATAGTACCATCGTTTTCGCCATCATCATCTCGTAGTTATCATAGGACGCTGCGCGTCAGCATCTTCATCATCATCATCATCATCATCATCATCATCGTTATCATTCTTAGCTTGCTATTCAAGGTGCTCGTCAGCACACCATTACTTTCTTGTAGTCACTAGAGGGCGTCGCGAGTTATCATTCTCATCACCTTTATCACCATCATTACCATTGTTACTTACATCACTATCAACATCATCCTTGGGGCATGTATCATCAATATAATCATCAGCTTATCATCATCATCATCACCGTCGATATTGCCATCATCATCGTCATCATTATATCATCATTCTCTATATCATCATTAGTTTGTAATCATAGGGGCTGATGGTGCTGCTCTTTGCTATGATCAGCACCATCATTCCGTCTTGACTCTCACTTGCGCCATCATCATCATCATCACTAGTTCTCATTGTCATCGTCTTTAGGGCGCTGCTATCGTCGTTGACAAACAAAATTCGACAAAATTTCAAGCGAACGATATTTGGCAAGTGTGTTATTGATCGGCTGGATTGGATCGTTCCCGGGGGACTGAATGGCGGGAAGGGGGTGGGGGAAGCTCTATCCTGCAGAGGCATCGCAAGGAGGGGGG